GAAGAGAGATTGAAATGCTATAATCTTTCAATGCAGCAAGGTAATAAGGTTTCATGTTTCGACAATTTTGCTAGTACAATAATCTGCAAATCGATAAGACCCTTTACAAAAAAAATCCCTTGGTATTACTGATAAATTGATGAATCCTCAATAGAATCACGATAACTGGCAAAAAAGTAGAAAAGGGATTGAAATGCTATAATCTTTCAATGCAACATGGTAATAAGGTTTCATGTTTCGCCAAATTTTCTATCATACCATAATCTGCAAATCAATAAGACCCTATATAATAATCTCCCTTGGTATTCCGTGAATAATATGATCGGGTTGTTGAATCATGGGGCATTAAAGTTCTTCAAACTACAACCAACTCAGTTTCAGTCGTTCTTCAGCTACCATCCTTCGGGAAGTTATCACTGGTTCTACCTGAGGGGGAATACAAGCTACATGTTTAGGCAGCTTTTTTCTCTTCATAGCGCCACCCAGCGGCGAGAAGTAGAGCCTTCCATTGTATTGTTGTATTACTAATATATGTGGATGTGGAAATGACACATGTTTCAGCACCATGGACAGGGACTGTTAACTACTGTAGCAGCTAATTAAGCGGCAGATAAATATAGAACATTAGTCATTAAGCTTTTAAAGGTTCCTGTGATAGCAAGCAATATGTTACGGAGTATAAGTACTGCATCGTTAATGCCGTGTAAGAAAAGGATTCTTGTTATAGTTCCAGTAAGCCTGATTTGTTCTAGACAATCGATGGAGATTGGATCATGTAGATAGCTCAGTCGGGCAGCCTACGTTTCTTTTCTTCATCCCATTATTGATTATACTCAATCTGGTAAATCTTTTATGGAGGTGTCGACATATACAAGGGATTAAATTCCACTTTCATAGATCCAATCTTTTGAAATGGCATTGTGCCATCGGACACAGCTTTCAGCGCGCCAGCATATATGTCAAAGGTTCGGTTTTCAATTTAGAAAGTCTATTCTTTACAGGGTACATAATTTTTCCCAGCTGCGTACAAGAATTCTTAATATAACAGCTTGTTTCATGTCATCTCAATGCTAGAATATACCATTCTCCAATAGAACAATGTATGATCTTTTGTTTTAAGATGTTTTAAAGTTTATACATGTACTTAGCTATGACTGCTTCTTTGTCTTCCCAACATTATTTTTGTTCTTGATAACTTGATAGCTTACAGGCGTAATGAACAATCTTATGAAGCTAAGTCCTTCTTCTAAATGTTTCGAGATCACACCTATCGACGCATGACTGGCAAATGCATTTTCTGTGGCACTGTCTTCTTATCTGTCTCCGAGAAGATTGAGTCTGTACATGTGTAATACTTTACACGTGCTCTGCATTATCGATGCATGCTAAAGTGTTCCCCTGTCCCAGTGGGATCATGACGGGCGACTAGATTCGATTTCGCCGTCCACCGCTCTATACAAGACAGTCTCCATCGAACCCACTGCTCCCAAAGTGCTTTCGCTCCGAAGATCGTTTCATAGATTAAAGACTTGGACATAGCTATCCTCCAACTCGATCCTTTAATGTTCATTGATGCAGGGGAGAGGGCCAAAAAGCAAATATATTACTTCCCAGTGCTGACTTGGACAGTTTATTCGATCGCTGTATTTGTGCCAGAGATCTGGCTATGAGTTTTTTGCGGAATATTCAGTACGTCCTGTTGCCTGTCCAATAGCATCGGCTGCGGGGAATGTGAGATGAGTGATAGCGGCGAGAGGCTGTGAGAATGATGGGACGTACCGTCGCACTAACCAGGCGGAGTAAGGGGGCTTTTGAATATTCAGTGATATTGAAAATTCATGGCCACCGCGGCGGCGTGTGCGATTTGGTTAGAAACACGCCGACCGGTTTGCATATGTAATATTCATGGAGTTATAGCTAAGAGGCTGGCCTTTTCGACCTATAAATCAGCCAACATTACAGAGAGTGATTCACGCTTGTTGAAAGCGCACTGTCCAGACATGCATCGTCAACTGACCAGGCGGCAATAGTATTCCGGTGCCGTTTGATACATAGTAGGGACTGTACAAATGCTATCTGAGGTAGGGTCATGAGTACACGCCTATGGTGTTGTTGCTGAATCTCCCCCCGCAAGTCGAAGCGTGAAGATCTACGATAACTCGGACCAAGCAACCTGCGGAGTGAAGACGCTGCGAGAATGTGTAGACTTGAGTGTACCATTGTCAGCCATAGCTTCAGCATGAACAAAGCTGTATAGCCAATCATTGCTGTTTTATGTCTGTATATTACCAGCTTGTTTTGGTCACCAAAAGGAGTGAAGGCTTGCAGACGACATCATGGCGGTACGACTGGAAGGGTACGAGCGGAGGGAACAGGGACAGGTGTTGGAGAGAGAGCGCCCGAGTCTGAAGGAACTGCAGCATCTTGACGGTTTCTCGTGGAACGACCGCATCGCCGCCTCAAATCGCTTGGACCTGACGCCCGATTCCCCCGAAGAGCCCCTGAACTCGGGCCGCGTGCGGCCTACACGAGCTCTCGGGCTGGTTGTTGCAGGTATGTACAACATTCACGCTACACCTTTGTTGGCGCCCTGCTCGTGGAAACAAAGGTTTCTCACACAGGCACGGCTTGCATGATGCATGGCCGGCTTATGGAAAATCAATGGGAGTTCCTTCCATTTGATATGGACGTTGGTGCCGGGGCGTAGGGGTCATCCACAAAGGCGACGTGCCTACAACCAGCCAAACTACGCGCAGGTGTATCCACAACCTTAAATCTTATCTTAAGGTCACTAGAGAGGTGCAATTGGAGGGGATTTTTGCCGGCGAAAATTTAAGACGGTTATGTGCATAACGTTCGCACAAGCGAATTTGAGTCCCGTTTTCGTGCCGTTGTTATAATAGAGTAGCGCGAGGCTCACGGTGAACGCCCATGCAATATCATGTACACGTTAACGGATAATTAGTTTTCCCATTATACCATGCTGGTATCATCGACGGCAGTGAAACAGGTTCATGATTTTAAGTGTCAAATAAAGGGTTGAACGCCAATAAAATCCAGCGTCATAAGATGAAACCGTAACAGATTAGACTTAAAGGCGTCAAAGAATGGAATATCAATCCAACAAAATATCAGGCTTATGAAACAAACGCTGATCAAGGCAGGGATTTGATATCAGTGTGTCAGAATACATTCATTAGGTATGCAGGCGATATCACTGTGGAATGCATGCAAAAACAATAGGCGAATTCCCATGCCGCACCATCACTTCATTAACATTCGATGCTCTGGCGCTCTGGTGAATAATAGGATTTTACCCACCACATTCTCAACCATTTGTCATCGTTTTGGGGTATCCACACAGCTCCCCTTGCACATACACACTAACACACAGTGGGCTGTACATATTAACTATTTGAGGATTCGAAGGGGCGAACGTTTGTTTTATGAGGTGTTGATGAGTATGGACCATCAGCCTGTCATAAAAGCACAGGTTTGAGGCGAGTTGTGTCGTATATTACGCCGTTATTGTCCCTGAATTTCCCCAAAGGCCGTTAGAAATATTTAGCTATAAGGGAAAGGGGATCTAAGGCATTAAAAACAGGAGCAGGTTTCATTTTTTGTGGCTTCATTGGCTTTTAACAATCTGGCTTCCAACCGAACGACTTGTCACATCTAAACCATTCACACCTACACTAACTGCCTTTAGAGGCCATCTAATGAAAGGTTCCCTGTCGTATTGTGATGACAACAGGTTTCATTCTGAATTGGAATTGGAATTTTTATCATTGGGCCTATAAACAAAAGCAATAAAAATTGAGTGTAAGTTTGCGTCAATGTTGAATGTACTAGACTTCATTCGATGGTAGCCAGAAGGAGACGTTACGCAATGTTAACAACGTGAAATCATCTGACAGAAACAATATTCCAAACATGCCTCGTTAACATGAGGGAGGGGGGCGCTAATTTCTTTTAGATCATAAACATTTGGTCTACTATTCCAAACATACATAGCTACAGAATGTGTAGGAACGTGGTTTTATACGATTAGAATTCCAAACACGCTCAAAAATAGGCCAAGGACAACTTGTGCAAAAACAATTACCTCGTCCAATGACACAGAACAGATAAAGCTGATACGACAGTATTTACTTTGCACGATTGCAGTAGATTCTGCCTTAAGGCCGTATTAAGGGCTTGCCATGTAATGGAGAAACTGCGGCCCAAGTGTCGTATATCTTGATGCCCTTGTTATATGACTCTGTGTCGGTAATGCAAATTGCAGATAGATTAAGTATGCAGTTAGGTTTAATTAGTTAGGCCACAGCAAGTACATTTTATGGATGACATCCTTTGCAGACCCCAAATCTGATGCGATAGGGGAAAAACCAAAGCGGGCCAAAACAAAACAAGCTTCGTACATTTTCAAATTTTGACGTTATAAACCTTGTTAAACAAGAAATGATACCTATATTGTGTTAAGTTTACTGCTAAATATTACGACATCCATTTGTGACTGAAAAATAAAAGTTTTCAATCATTGTACAACTTCAGTGAAGATCAGATATAAAAGGAATGAAAAGCATCACTGCATCAAAGTAAAAGTCAAAACCATAAATCAGAGCTACAGCTACAAGACTGTCTGTGGGGAGGGGGGCAGTATAAAAGGCTGCGTGTCGTTATGCTCTCACCATTCCTTTGCAAGATAATCCCGTCTTTGTTGCTATTGTACTGTAACCTTTCTGTAGCACGAAAGCGTAGCAGCATGACGAACTGCACGGTAAATATCAAATTGCCACGATTACAATTGCCGTGATAGCTTCACTTAGACTGCTGATCTTATAATTAATTGCACCAATCACGCTAAATTGCACCAAGTCCCATATTAGGCAATAAATAGGTGTAGGTCTGCAGCGCTTTTGTCCTTCTTCCACGGCAGAATGGCAGTACTTTACGCGCTGCTTTCATATATATTTTGTGTTCAAGAACAATGCAATTCATATTTGTTGAGGTGCTTCAAACATTTCACGAAGAAATAAATAATGTTTGCAAAACATGCAGGCAATATGCATTCACAACATCCGCGTATAGAATGCAGATTCTCCACCTCCATAGTGGTGGTTATAGCAATGAATGGATTTGATTGGATACGCTCAAGTGTTTCCGGGTCATTGCCTGACATAACAGGAAATAAAACATGTCAGTAAACTGTGCCATTTATATTCATTCCTACGTTCCTCTTGGATTTCCGCCAGGACTGATTCTAGTGCGGCTTTAGGTAATAAGACAGACATGCAGCAGTATGTTTAAATGTAATTCTAACGGCCAAACCTTTGGATCGTTGTCTGATCTTGTCTTCTGCTAAGAAATCTCGACGACCTAACCATGCGTCGTGATATATGGTATAACGGATCCCGCCGGACGCTTTACTATGTGGATCGAAATCAAAATGGAGGTTCGAGACCCAATTGGGTAGCCTGGGTACCATCCGGATTTTCGCTCCGGAAAGGGGTTTTTTGCGAGCGTTGAGGAGCGAAAATCCGGATGGTACCCAGGCTACCAATTGGTACGACTGGATTGCATTTGTCCTTTCGGGTGGGGACGTAAAGCCGATGGGCCCGTGCATAAATTTAAAGTAGCTTCGTGCATAAGCCTCAAGGCATCCATTCTCTGCACGTAAAAATGTATCAGCTTATTTATCAAGAAGAGTAGGAGGTGACCTGATTTGCTTGGCTGAAAAGGTGATCCGAAGCGAAGCCGCATTGCGCTATCAGCTATCGAAAAGGCATTACGTTTCGAATCCGACCTGCCGTGTTTCACCTGTTACTTAAAACGTGTTACGTGGGGTCGTGTGGCGTAACTGCGGAGTGCTCGACTGAGAACCAAGAGGTCCCGGGTTCGAGTCCTGACATGCTATCATATCCCTGGTAAATGCACTTTACACGACTTTCCTCACTTAACTCAAGTGAAAATCGCCTGTCCTGTATTTGTCCTCTGCGTTGGTGGCGTATTAAAATTAAAAACAAACTTGAGTGTGCCGTAACCATGTGTTGTCATGAATTGTTGGAACGTGTTATTTTATGACACGTCAGAGAACGCTCACTCTCCCCCGCCTCTTCCGGAGATTAATCCGCGCCCGGAAACATCAATCACAGATTCCAATATATTCCCAATCAGAGTAACATGAAAACAAATGGGATAGGAGTGGAATCAGGTACAACGACCTTCTTCGCAATCAAGGTATATTAGGAGGGAGCAGCCCACAGAAGGCGTTATGTGATGTTGTAACGTTGGTTTTCAACATTTTGTTTGCATCGTATAGTCGGTAAACCGCCTTGAGCCGGAACACACCAGTTTTGCACGTTACATACCGGCTGCGAAAGGCCACACTACCTTTTTCTTAACTACACAAACTTTCTAGTTAGTCCATGCCTGCTTTAATATACTGAGATATTTATATGCTGTAATGTACGTATGATATCAACAAAAAGATATGATGAGTTTTGCCAGTATTGTAAGACAATATCTAAAACTTGTCTATGTGTAGAAAGGGTTCATTTTTCATAGCGAGCCAGGTTGAATTATTTGATATGGAGATAGGCTTATCCAATAACAGAGTTGTACGTTGGGATGGCTACAGTAGAAGATATCTGCTTTATCGTCACATTAATTTTGCCAGTATTGCATGGATCTACAGATTTATCTCTATTAAACCTGAAGGCCGAGACAATTTATTTTTCCGTCATGTGCAGTCGTTTTGCCTCCAGCAATGTTTCATTTGACGTTCCCACTCGCGACTGTTGCCATTGATATGCGCTGGCCGGCTTTACGTCCCCATACCAATGCAATCCCTCCCTACCATTTTGAGCCTCGATCCACGGAATTTTATCCATATGGCGAAGCAGCGATGTCTACTCTTTGATATATATATCGCATTCGAATCCTGATTTATCACAGTACCTTCCTAGTCATTTTCTTTTCATTCGTGTATGTCTTTGAGAGTCAATGTTTCGTTAAGATTTTGTTGTCTTATCCACAGGCACTCCAGACAGCGAAGACGACGCGAGGTGGACCAAACCGTCCATCGTGCACTCTCACTACGTCGAGACCCCCGAAGAGCACGTCGACTGGCCGGCGGAAACACCCGACAACGAGCGAAGCTGGTCCGAGCAGGAGCAGAACTTTCAAAGGACGCCCGATCAGAAACGAATGTGGGCAGAAACGCCCGACGACGAGCGAGCCTTCGACGAAGCCGCCTTCCTTCGGGAAGAGTACATATCCAAAGCCGTATCCCCCGACGACAGAAGGTCTCCGAAAGTCTTATTGAACGGTAAGGTCATACGATCCGCGCGAAATTCGAACAGAAACGGCTCCTCGTCGGACGAAGACGTAGAAAACCCATCGTCTTCGTCATGGAGTTGGAGAAGGAGACGTTTTCTGAGCGTGGAAGATGCCATCTCATCCGAGGGGGACAGAACACCCGACTCACCCTCTGATGAAGACTTGTTCCTACCCAGGAGGCGACATGTGTCCAACAGTGTCTTGTCCAGATCTCCCGGCGCTCTGGAGGCGGGGTTAGAGGATGAGTACACCACCAGGAGCATCGAGAAGGGCTCCCACAGGAGAAAGCGGGGCACGGGAAGGAAGGACAGCGTCGGGACGGAGCGACGAGACCCCGTCAGTCTGGGAGAAGACCTGGGAACACAGGGGGAGGACCAGGCAACATCTGTTGAGGAAGAAAGGACGCCAGAGGAAGAGATCACGCTGGATGGAAATGTACGGTATTCTCGTTTTAACCCTCTCTGATGTCACAAACCACACACCTATTCACCGCTCCCAATGCATGCTGGGAGACGCGGGGCACTATGGGTAACTCAGGAGACACATTACAATAATACATGCGGCCTATGCTGTCATTGTAACGATTTTGTTTGCCCGCCACCACATTGGCATTAAAATAAGACTGAGGATGGCTACACTAACGTTAACGTTTGCCAATATCAAAGCCTTATATAAAAGACATGTTTGGCGTGCTAATATTCGGCTAGCGCTGCTTCGTATGAGACTGAGTTGGTCCCTGTACACGACGATTGAGATAAAACTTTCCGTTGACCCAGAGGTTCGATTGCTTACCCGAAAATTAATCGCCTTATGACACGGGGAGGCCATCTAAATACATCATATCGGCTACCTTTGACCCGTAAAATTACGAAAGGTCAACCCACGCGGCGACTCCAATTCGCCGCACACCGGGTTCTGATGAACGCTGACCGTGACCCTCACCTACAAAGTCAAACCTACACTTTAGTACATCCAGTGACTGTTGGATGAGGGATGGGTATTCTCTAAATGAGCCTTAGGGGGGTTGGATGTCAGTGCTAATAGTGCGTAGGTTCGTAAATGTTCCCTTTTAGTGCAAAACTATTAGGGCAATTTCATTTCAACATGAGACTTGGTTGTTTTCCAATAAAAAGAAGGAGATGGGGCGTTTTCTTGGCAATTGGCTTTTTCCAAATAGAGTAAGCAATGGATGGAACGATAGATGTGTTTTGTTATTTGCCTTGAATGTTTAAGCATACACTATAGTTTCGTCCTATCGAGATGCAGCATATTCCCAAATTTAATAATCATATGTAGTACTAAGTTGAAATACACGTCCACGAAAAAATGAACATAAGTGCCTCCGTGTTAAAGCCAACATTTCAACACAAAACCGTTGACAGGTATGTATACTTAATGCGCGGTAGACAGGGAATTAATAAAGCCGATTCAGTCCCTTATCTGCCATATATTTGAATTATTTATTGTCTCGCGGCTGAGTAGCTGTTCACATGCGCTAGATTCCATCTCTGAGGGATGTTATCGAAAATGGGAAGGGGATTTTGAAAGTATGTACGAAATTTCTTAGACAGGAATAGAATGTGGTTGGAAGAAAAGAAGAAAAAACGTCTCATTTTAAGGTCTACAGATCGTTTGATACACCAGGGAAGATTTTTAACAGCAAAAGAAAACAGAAGCAAGAGCAGGATTTTAAACCAGTTCTTATCCATTGTATTCAAGCATGTTTCTATAAAGAATGAAAGGCAAATTTGGACCGACTTTGGTTCTACGTAAACCTAGTGCTACAGGCTAGTTTTATCATAACCCAGTGTAGCACTAGACCTGCACTCAATGCATGTCGTACTTTGAGTCCCGAATGCGCATCGCGTTGTGCAGTGCAAATCGCTGAAGATTGCCTGTCATGTAAGCCTACATACTGGAAACGTCTGTCTCCTTTCATCGCGTGAGAAACCGGGTTTTTACACCACATTAATCTGTAGCTATAATTCCCCTGTGGTCGGGAAAAATTGGGTCGACTAACGCGACAGGCGTTACATCAAAGCTTGTCAACCAATACCACATCGATCATAAAATGGCAAAATTTACGCATTTCTAGTCCGTAATCTATTTTCTACTTATCGATGTGACGTTTTCTTCACTGCTGCATGATGTGCCTGTAATTATCAAAATTGTGCAAGTAAGGAAAAAAACTAATAAATGACACTTTGAAATTGAAATAATCAGTATTTAAGGGTACTCCAGAACATAATCAATAATTCATTTAGGATTAAAGGGGAAAAGAAATAGATAACGGTAGCGGTACATGTAGTCGTACTGAGTTACTAGTACATTGGAGGCTTGAATGGGTAAAATAAATTACAGTGACGAAAGGTTGGCGACGTGTATACAACTCACACTCTACTCCTGGGGTTAAAAACCCGACCTTTCATCTCTCTCAGGGAGGACGATGTGGTCCTATACTTTATCATGCACGGTGTACTACAATCATGGCGACGTCCTGGCTGACCCTTTTAATCCTAATCTATGAGAAATTCCTTGGAGACGTGTTGGTTCCCAGGTAAACGTCTTCAGGGTCACGTAAGAGGTCTTGGCTCGCATCTACGTTTCATACATCAAGGAGTTTGCCTTAGTGTCACCTTTGGCAAATTGCGAACATAACGCACAGTTCATGAAACTCTGCTGGATACAACGGCTCCCAACAGAACTGTGCACATAAACGTAACAGCGTGCGGTAGGAATAACACGTTTATGTGAACCAAAAAAAGTGTAACTCGAAATTAAGGTAACATTTGCAAAGCAAATGCAAAATGTTTACCTTCGCATATGTTCTGCTCTGTTAATTCTTACTCAAACACATTCATACATGATGGTGACAGGAGTCTAAATCCCTCCTACTATAAAATTGCAACATAATGTAACCCAACACCAGTTAGCATGGTGAGAGACAGTCCGGTTCAGTCTGGTCAGAGGTCACTGTTTGGAGAAGAAGAAGAAGAACAATATGTTTTCCTTCGGTAAATGTGCTAAAAACTGGCATAAACCACTGAGAATGAACCGCATCATTGGTTTAACTCAGTCTGGACTCTGGAGATTACAGTACTACCGGTACATGACATGTCCCGATAGTCTGGACCTGTAGCTGAATGATTTGCAGGCCAATGTACTGGGGACCGGGACGCAGCCATATGCATATACCCTACGACGTACTGAAGTTGACTCATGCTGTGTCGCCTGACTCATTTTTCTGACGCAGAATGAGTAAAACATGAATACATTGATTACCTGTTGGAACCAATACCCTGTCCAGCACCTTCTAATCCCAGGGACGTTAATCAAAGCACAAGTTCATATTTTCCACCAGTCCAGGGTATAACCCCAATTAAAGGGAGTCCGGTACAATACTAATAACTTCTGATGAAAAGGGCGTAGAGTTACAGTAATTCCAAACACTACAGTTAGTCACTGTCACAGGTGATGTGGCACGTTTTCGATCATTTCAATTGATTTTTTACTAATCAAAACCATCGGCTTCCCACCCAAACTTAGTCGAGTCGCAAGTGAGAATATTATTGGACAAAGTATTGGGACCTATTAAAGATCCGAACCGATAACCATAGATTTTGAATCCTGAGCAACTGCACGGCCACCTCACTGTTTCAAATTCGACTCAGGCATGAAATCGAACTTGTTTGCATCCCCTTTGCTAAGGGTCGTTGGATTCAAAACATCTATAGTCGATAACGTATGAAAGATACTGTAATATAGGGATAGATCCAGGATCGCTGCGGCTGGGGAACTGAACAGACGATTGATTTATGGTTTGCTGCTCATGCAGGGTCACGTACGGAGTTGACATTCTGTGACTTTTCATTGGTTCCTCCCCATTTAAAACAGAGATTTCACCCGAACACCAAGACACATCGGCGCCGGGGAAAACCACAGATAATTATCAGGTCCTGACAGATCAATGATGTTTGGAGGTAGGAGGGAGGGCGCGTCTGTTCTCAATACTTATCCGGGACACCTGTTGGGATCGATTCTAAGCTCTGTTTTGAGTAAAGAACTCTTTTTACACAACCTTTTATTCAGCCGACCGTCTCGGTCACCGTCTGTCACCTTCCTCAGGGCAATTCTGACTGGTTCACTTTACATTACAGCACAGGCGTCTCTGCTAAAGACGCATTCCCAAATGTACAATATTTACAAAACGTCCAACGTACCAAAACGTCGGCTGAATAAAAGTCTTGGTTGTGTAAAAAGAGTCTCTTTACTCAGTGTCTTACCAACCTGATTAAACTATTCAAGGATAAGCTCTGTTTTGTCTTTCATCTTCAGCTATTTTGAAGGCGTTTGTTTGTTTGTTTGCTTGTTTGTTGTTTATAATGGTGTGTGTGGCTGAACAGCATAACTCAAGAACCCATGGATGGATTGTTATGAAATTTGGTATGTGGAAAATTTTGAGTCTCCTTGAGCCTCAAGGCTTTTCTTGGTACTACAGCAAAACTTCCGGTTTGTGCTGTGGTCACGATATTTGGGTGGTAAATATAAAAAACAGCATAACTCAAGAACCCATGGATGGATTGTGCATGGATATAGCATTTGTGCCTGGGGACAAATGACAAACATTTTGGTCCCAAACAGCTTTCTTGGCAACTGTAGGGGTGCATTTGCAAAGATCTTTAAATTTGCTTTTCTTTACTTGAAACAGCAGTTCACTATCAAAGTGCTTCAAGTCATAAATAAGCCACCATTATGCGTGCCAAGAACAAACTACTAACATTACTAGAACAAACGCTGTCACTGTTTGACAAACTCTAAAGCGGGAGCACATTACAAGGGACACATTCTTCATACAGTTGATGTTTTCTCATAAGCAGAAGACCTTTGCCTCCTTCATAGAAATCCACAGTGACAGGTAGCTAGATATACGGCGGCCTTCCTGCTCCTAAAGCAACTTAATAAAGAACGCCCAATTCACGGTCGAAACATCACACGGACTACTTACTGCGAGACTTATTGCTTTCATTCTGTATGAATGGAAAGTTCAATAAATCTCGCCCGCCAGGCGTTCAACGTTTCATCATTCGGAGACTGAAGTATTTGCAGTAACAAACTGGTAATAGGGTAGTGCCATTTTTGAAAATGGCGGGAGGCTTTCTTGAGCGTTTAAGACATATAAGTCACCTTGAAAACGGGTGCTAGCTAGAGTTCATAGAAACAGAAAGCACATAAAGCATTGGATCTTGTATAAACACCATACTCATAAATTTGAAACAGTGTTATGATTTCCTTTGAATTCTAAATACCTGAAATCTTGTAGCTGCATATGTACATCTTAAATATAATCACTTTCTTGATTTATAGCGTACTAAGTTTTGAAAACGGGTAATTGGAATTCGTCTATATCCTTTGCGATTTCCCAGTACTAATACACTGCAGCGTATCAGCAAACTTTGCTGGGAAGCGGATATAGGGCTACAAATCGTCTGCACACATATATCATGACGAATAGCGGGAAACCGAGCGGTGGTTTTTGATGACTGTGCAATTTGGTGGCGACGCGATCGGTCTTCGCAAATGGGTACTGTTGAGAGATAACCCCCATCAATTATGCTGGGAACAGCGCGATAAAATCGGGTGGAACAGTCACGGGGTGTGGCACCAGCTGTGAGTGGGTACGTTAGATGGAAAGTTGTGCTGACAGGTTTTGACAGGAAATTCTAAAAGCTCCAGACATAATTATCCGCGCAGTACACACCGCTACCAGTTGTTCTAGCCCCCTGCCGTAGTGTTTGCATAGCTGTGAGGCCCAAGGGCTTTATACATGTTGAATTGGAGATAGGCGTCGCCTTGTACACCATGTACTGTGGGAAGAACTTAAACCCACAATTTAAAAGATTAATAATTGTGTTGATTTAATAGAGGCACATCATATGAACGTAAAAATACAACTTTAATTTTTTTGTGACAATGTTCAAAATTCTTCACGGACACTCTTCTTAAAAAACGACTCTGACGCTCTGGTATTACATTGTACTACATATTCTTTCTGTATTGCATTCGAAAGATTCTGAACCCCACAATTGCAAAGCATCTTTTCTATATATCTGTCGAGAATATTTTACTTTAGTCCGTATGAAATGTGACTGTTGCACCTGTGACTACAGGACACCCAGAGACGTGACCAGATTCTGGATGTTCTGCGGAACCACGGGTTCGAGGCGGAGTCCAAGGTAAGACACACCTGTCTGATCTCATGGTACATATGAAGGTTAACACGCATCTAGATCGACTGAAATGTCATGGCAATGTTTCTGGTTGACATTAACAGTTGCTCGTACCTTAATTTGAAATCACATCACCCGATCATAAAATTCAGATAGAGCTCTATCAAGAAATAGCCATTCTCAACCATTCTGTTATTTTAAACTACATGTAATCAGGTTTATGGGATTGGAAAAGTAACAGTAGAACGTTGTACAAAATCAAGTATAAACTACATTGACATAACACGAGAGACTACTAGAATCTTGCGAAGTAGCAAAGAACATAACGAACTGCATGTCATTATGGTGGTGTATATCCTATGACAAAGATGAAAACACTTAAATACTGTTAATTGGTGTACAGCTTACAGTGGGGGAAACGTTGCACATGTTTCGCTCTTAATTATAACCGCACTTACATCCGATGGATCATCAATAAAAGATGCATTGACAACGCAAACTTACAAGCAGTTAGTTTTACGTGTTCTTCAGTACCTTTAATCTATTCTTTGGAACACAGCTCGTGGATATCAATGTCGGCACGAAGCGATGGTCCGTGAATAACTACATCTCCATGCCGGCGGAGTACCACGTGTGTTTCCGGGAGTGGGTCAACTTTCACTGCACCAGCGGCGCGGAGATGGAGGAGGTCCTGACCTGCCCCATGAACAGGAACCCAGCACACGCAGCAGAGAAGGTCAAACTCAATAACCAGACCAGTTCCTTTAGAGCATTCTCTGCATGCGTGCGCAGCAATATGAAACTGTAGATTTGCGTGTTGCAACATACGGGTTCGATTCCAGAACCAAAATTCTAGGTAAAGGACTAAGCATAGATCAAGGTGGAAGGTGCACGTGCCTAAAACATCATTGTCACATAATTTTTATGTCGAGACATCTATATGATATACATATTTAGGTTTAAATGTAGGAAGGATTTTTCCATAACTCGAAAATGAAGTCTTACATCATACTAAAAGACTCCTGCAATCAACAGAACGCCTTCACTGTGCCGTCGACCAGCAGTGACGAGGAGGAGGCGGTGGCCGGAGACAAACACATCACAAGTGCCATTGACCTGCTGAAGAGCCGGGCCACTGTCGCCGAGTTCCTACATACTAACACAGACAAGGTAAAACATCGTACTAGGTGGAAAATTCTAGTATGCTACCGATCCTGGAGTTTACTAGTATATGGGAGTCGTAAACAAAATGCCAGACACCCGTAGCTACATGGGCACTGGATCACTCATTCTTTCTCATCTACTCTCTGTTATATATTGAACTGTACATTTCTGACGTCCAGAATCTATCCACATCATGATGTTTGAAAATACATGTATATGCTCCCAAGTTTGATCCATTAATACATGTATTTACTATATGTTGATTTTACGTACTGAAAGTTCTTTAAAGTTTATCTGTACAAAGGACTCACCAACCTGCTGATGAAGCTTATTGTTATTTCCGCAGGATATGTACTACTCCTTCTGCCATGGCCGCCTGACCTCGTCAGATGAGTTGAGCCACTGTATAGGGTGCCACTGGTGTTTGGATAGGAATTATGTCCACTGCAATCGCTGTGATAGCTGTGTGTATGGCCATAGGGTGTCCAGGTAAGATAAAAAGCCTCCACCTTAAGGTGTTGCCAAAAAACTCCGAACTGCTACATGTACAGATCTTGACATTCGCCAGAAGCTGACAGTGCATAATGCAAAATAGACCAATACATGACACTGTGAAGAAGACTGATCGGAAGTAGAAACCGTTAAAAGAATTATGCCACACAGACTTCATTTTAAGGATGACATCCAAGCGTGCATTGATTTTCAGCATTTGGAAACCCTCAGAACTACATGCAAAGATTTCCAAAATTACAAGTCAAGCATACCTCCTGAGAAATCAAGAACATAGGATTTGAATACCTGGTAATCAATTTGTTATACTGAGTTCTGTGTGTCCAACTACTGATCACTTAGATTTCAAATTTTCGGAACATCTTTTATTGCCAATTTCTTGTGTGTGCTTGCATCAATTCTGGGGTGTCCAAGGGACGTCATCAATAAAATTATGTCAGTGGCCATTGAGACCTACATTTTGGCAATGCCTGTGACTGATTCAGCCCTTTATAGAATTATTGACTAGTCTTATCTGCAAAAAAAATTGCTGATGACGTTAGGATGGCCTTACAAAACAAACTGTGTAGACAAAAAATATATAAACTATGTCGTTGCCAAAATACACACTCCAAGTAAGATATTTACTTGGCCTTGTATCTTGCTGTTGCAATGTTAAGCCTTTGACCCTCATATCTGCAAGAATAATAGCAGTCGGCTAAAGGATAATGTTTTCACGGTGTGAAATGTGTGATGTGATATGTCCTTTCACAACAAACAAAAGAGCTGACAGGTAATATTTCTGGTTATTTCCCTAGATGTGAGCACTGCCATGGGTCCCAGTCTGAGGACTGAACCAGCCGGCTCCTGTCCACAGGTTTGACATGAAGATACATCTGTGTCCCTCAAGACTGCCCCTCTGATCTTCAGTTGTGAAGAGTGGCACTTGGCGTTCGTTTGAGCAGAAAATGAATTCTTCAAAGTAAGGCCAGCGTCTACAACGTATCAGATCTATGTGCAACAAAAAGCCTAGCTGAAAACAGAGGCAAAGATTCTTACTTTAGTAACAAATACAACATTAATTCTCGCTGTAATTCTGACTCAGCGAAAAGACCATTAGTTTTATTTTTGCTTTGCAACGTTTTTTTTTGTTAAAGGTTGTCATGATCACATGTGCAGGGGCAGACCCAAATGCATTTTTTCGATACTAGGTGCCTTTGATTCTATATGCAGCGAGAAATAAGAAAATCTGTATGATGGACAATTATCATAAATCGTCAAGAGTTCAAAATGCAACTTCATCTGCCAATTGATCATGTACCAACCTCAAGAAGAAGTTAAATTTAAACTGTGTCTAGAATATTGTTTGCAGATTAGGGCATTGGCAGTCACAACTTTTTGAAAGGGTTGCCATTTTGGAGTTTTATACTGTCCATTTGATGTGTGTATTGTGGTGGATGTATAAACAGTACAATGTCTGTGTGTACACATTGGCCTGGTATAGCCATGAACCGGTATGTTACATTGGAAGATATGATAGTCCAATAACTTGTAAAATGTGTGAAATTTGTTGTGTCAAAGTCATGCTGATGGGTAGGAGGCAACCTATGGTTTATTATCATATCCATGTGCACTAATATTAGCCAAACAGGATTGGCCAATCATTAGCCATTAATCATGCCACATTAGACATTAACTAGAAAGGCCAATATTTGCTTTGGAGCAAATACAGCGATGGGTTCACCACATTTTACGACATGGCAGGGAAAGAATGAGAAACACAATGGAAAACAATGATTTACATTGATATAACTATAATATGAAGTAAAATACAACTAAAACAACAGTTGGATAGCTATTCCCTACTTTATTGGTTAGGATTTTTAATTGCATAATGCAAACTGTTGATTTTCAAAATAAAAAAAAAACGTCCATGCCCCGCATTCCAATGCTGGAGCAGGAAAGCTTGAAATACCTACCAAAACACTTGAATACAGACATACTGTCAGTATGGAAATGATCTGTGCAGGTGTTAATCAAGTTAAATCCCAACAGCCAATCAGCAAGAAATGCTCTGTGCAGGTGGAAATGCTCTGAGCAGGTGTTAATCAAGTTAAATCCCAACAGCCAATCAGCAAGAAGAATAGAGGAAAGCTGCATGCCTATTGGTTGATGCCCTGCATTCCATTGTGATGACTCATGCCCAAACGTGGTAAACAAGGCACACTAACACAGTAATACATTTGCTATAACACAGCCAAAAAACTCAAATAAAACCATTCTAAAAGCCTGTATCACAATAATTTAAAAAACGCCTAGGGGTATTTGCCCACTGTACCTCCATACCAAATTTCAGGACCTTGGGCCCTAAAATGAAGAAGCTGAATCCATTTAAAAAATGGCAGGAGGAGAAGGAGGAGAAGAAGAAGAAACATCAGAAAAAGCAATATGGTTTCACCACACCACTTCGTGTGGTGAACCCATAATTATGAGGCTGTACACATCATTGGTGAGTCAAGAACGTTTGGTTATAATGAACAATGCTTCATACCATTATATATACATTAAGTATATAACAGAATGTTTGTTTTCCCTTCATTTGATGCTAGATTTTGACTTTTAAAATTTACCGTCAGGAATGACACTTGGTTATTGTTTGAATAGGTTAAATAATGATAATGTGTTGCCTTTACCTTAGTGTATATGGTGACAAAGGCTTGCTCTGTTCCTATGACCATCAAATCACAGAGTGAGCAAATAAACGAGTGAGGAAATATAAATCACAGCTTGTCAAACCTGATCTAGCAAGTGTCTTATACAGTATGTTCTGTGAGGTGCTAATGTGTGTGTGTGGTTACATGTGTGTGTCAAATTATACTGCCAATTCAGCTATTGTACTCGCAAAATGTTCAGAGAAAAATGGTAATTTCTGACCAATTTTAAGGCAATTACTAGACTAAGTATAAAATGTTGGACACTGTATTTGAATCATGTGATTTCAATTTTTCTACTGCGTAAAGTATACATGTACCTAACATTGATGTGCCAGTGATACACTGACACTTTTGCAAGTAAACAGGTTTGCTACTTTGTGATGTTTGTACCGAATTGTCCATGTCAACACTATGTTTGTATTGGCAGTGTGTTGCATGTTTGTATGACTCTTACTAATATATTTGAGCAAATAATACTGTATTGTGCAATGTTATCACTAAGTGTACAAAGGAAAATTATCCTGTTGCCAAGTGACAATACTGTTTCATAACTCTCCAAGCTGAAAGTGACAATATAGCTATAAAAGATGTGGAATATACCTATATTGCTGTTGAAGCAAATAATGTTCTATATGAAAAAAAAGACAACACGCATGCAATGTGTACTCTTTGTATCAAGTAATCACTGATCCCCTCTACAACTTCACATTTTCTATGCAGGAAGGAGCAATACAAAGATACTATGTATTACTAAACAGTGTGTTTAGTAACTGTGTTACTGAAGTGTCTGCAGTGCTAAACACCTAGCTTGGACACGGAACAATAGCAAGTCTACGAAATTCAATGTATGTAGTGTTGTGAGCTGGCAGTTGACTTTATATATATAAATTATAATGGTCAGTTGTATGTTGCTGATTGGAATAATAAACCAATACATTTTACTACTTTCCACATTTGAGTACTGAAGTCAACTTTTTCTGCTATGACTCAAGTTGTTTTGAACGTCAGCTCCCATCCTCTCAGATGCCATATTTCCGCCATCTTGTTCTATTTTGGTTGCCACCTTGTGTACTTCCCTGTTGGCTATTTCTGTGAGCAGTACTAATAAAAGGATTGATAGTGTGCTATCTTTGTTTATGTCCCTGGTGTATTTGCAAGGCCACAAACTCAGCGCACTTAGCATTTTCAAATGTTATCGTGCACCCATATTAGTCCCTTTGAGACTGCTATTTCGATGAAAGATTTGCCATAAACTTTTCGTCATAAAAATGAAATTGCTCCTTCAAGCTGTTTTATGTCACTATAAATACCCCTGAAGGCAAAAATGCGCTCAAACTTGATATTATTCTGGAAGGTTGCCATATACATGTAGCCTAGAGCATGCAAACCTTATCAACATTGATTTTCAGTATTCATCCATGACCATGTCCATCACAAATGGAGAGCGCATCATCTGTATGTATGCCACAGGTATGTTACGTATCACTAAGTCCCATGAAGGCATGGTGAACCTTTCCATTGTGTGTAACACATACCAAAGGGGCATGTGTGCTTAAAGTCATAAAAAGCAAACTCAATGATATCAACCTTCATAATGTAAAACTGTAAACCCGTAGGACAGAAGCTGATGGCAATTTGCCATGAAACCTCCACATCAGTAATACAACCACGTCTAACCCTCAAAAAGACAGTGTCCACCAGACGATAATCCAGATAGTGAATGAGTGCGAAAAACAAAGTTGGCAAAAGTGACTAAATCTCCACCTTTGTCTTCATAATGGTGTCACGGGCCACATTTCTCTCACAGGTTTGATAGGGTTCAAGGCTAAATTCACTTATGTAACATATAATTGGCACCCTGGGGGCCTGCAGAGATATTGGATGTGGCCTTGAGTGGCAAGAGGTTCTCCTAGGTCCTCGGTAATGGAGTCTGTGCTCGTTACGGTTCAGATAGAAAGAAGCATGACAACAGGTGGCTTATTACCCACTGGCACAGGTACTGCATGGCATTGGGAGCTAGCAGCATTGATTCTCCCTTACAAGGGTGTGTGATTTTCACATTTGGCAGCTACAGCTATTCAGGCTATTGATGGATTTCTCCACCCACATGGTGGCCTGCATGGAGATGTGGCTGGGCTGGATTAGGCCATACCAAACTATTTACTCGGTTCTCAGACAAGTTGGCAAGAGGACATCGTGAAAGTTGAGGGTTTGGAGGAAGACTTGATCATCTGAGTTCTGACTGCAGTCACTGCCTAAAACTGACTGAGTATACCAAGTCATGTGCGTCCTAAAATTCAAGCCAATCTATTGAATATCAAATTGTTCAAGGGTATTTGGTCATTCTGACATTACGTTATACTATTCATAGGACTAGATGACAGGTCAAAGACAATTGAATAAGGCTATCACTCAAGTTCAAATTAGACAATATGTGGATTACACCTATTCCACTCAGGCCAAAAAAACTATTACCCCAGAAATCATTCTGCTGAAAAGTATCTCCTTGACATATCTTTATTTTTAAGTTCCGTGTTTTACAAAACACAAGCCTTATACAATATGCTTGCATCTCACTGGTCTGGAATGGTTCTTATAGTATACTGACCAGAAGAGGTCTGTAAAAAGGGAGATCATGAATAGTTTTGTGCCCACTGTCATCAGATGACAGTACGTGTGTACCAATAGTTGAATGGTCAGCAGGTGAGTCAATTTCTTCTAGATCTGGTTCTGCTTGGTGGCCTCTGTGGTGCAGGGGGTGTCTCCACTGGCTCCTGTTTTACATTCTCTGTACTAACCACCGGGGGTACCTCTTTTTCTCCCTCTCCTTTCTCGGGTTGTTTCTGTTCCTCTTTTTTAGTTCCTTTTCCTTCGGTGTTGTCAGTCTTTTTCTCAGAGTCTTTACTGGTGGATGGTTTGACCGGTGTGTCATCGGGGTCTTGCCTGCGGTGTCTCATGATGGAGGACATGATGTTGTCCATTCGTGCCACCCTTCGCTGACCGCTTCTCGGTGTTGGTCTACTTCCTGAAGTGAACAAAACAGCAGGAAGTATCAGTGTTAGATTCAAGCTGACAAAAAAAAAATTCAAGATGCACTCACAAGATGTGTATGATGTATAAATGCAAATCAGCATGTAATACAAACAAATATAAAGGTGTGATATCTTCAACTATCAATCATACGCTAACTGCTTTTTGGCATATCATACGCTATTCCTAGTTGGTGGGGTGAATAATGTTAGTGTCTTACCTGGAGTTCTCCTTGTAGGTGTGAATGTCTTGGCAGGTGTCGTCTCCATTGAGAACTCATCAAAGTCAAAGGAGGGAACAGCTGGCCTGGATTGGGAAGGGTGAGAAAAATAAACACGTTCACAACTTTTACTAAATGAGTCTTTTGTTATGCATATTCTACTTTCACCTGACTTGTTGTACTTACAAAAATTAGTGCATTCAAGGTTAGGAAGTTAACCTCCTTGTATTTAACCTCCTTGGTGCATTTCCAAACAGCACAACATTGGTCATCATCCTTGATCTTATGAAATTATCATGTCTGCCTACACGCAGTAGTATATATAACGTTACACAATAATTCATAATCACAATTTTATACTTGTCAAATTGCAAAAATGTATAGATGTACTTTTTGCTCGGCGTCTCTTCTGGCTTTTCCTCCTCTTTCTCGTCCTCCTTAGTCTCCGTCTCCTCAGGTTTAGGTGTTGGAGCTCTCCTGGGAAGACACTTCATCTGGAGCTCGATAACTCCGTCCTTTTCTAACCTCTCGTACAGAGACGCGATGTCAGCAGGCGGCGGCTCCCAGCTCTGGTAGTTCTTGTGCTCGGCGTCCCAGCTCTCCGAGGCCGCCAGCTCGTCATCACTCGCCGGGATCTCAAAATCTTCGTCCTCGGACATCACGATTACCACTTAGAACGTATAAATATTGCTGAAAATAATTTGTTATTTTGCGCCGTGGGAGGGGGGCATTCCCAAAACACTCTCGCCCAAACAAGCGGAAATTCCAGTCTACTGGACAAAGGGCTAGCTTCAATTTTCTTCAGATTTCCTTCAAACGGGTATACTTGTCCTACAGGCCGAAGGAATCGTTATCAACTTGGCTATTAGTGCTGTTTTTCGCGATATAAACCAACAGAACTGATCGACTCGCCTTTAAAAATCACAAAATGGCGGCAAAATTTTGCGCTTGCGTGAAGCTGTTCTCGCGAGATTTGATTCAGACGGGACTCTGCGAGAGCACGGTTCTGGATGCTGATTGGTCAATGAAACAGACGCTCCAAATTCAATCAAGGACTCAAATCTTTTTCGTACACGACTTGTTTTTGTAGTGAAAATCGTGGTTTATTAGCTACGATTATAGTTCTAAGAAGCTTTCTTGAAGCAATATGACGACTCCAGGATTCCATCGCCACAGGTGAGATACTGTTTCGTACCAAGAGACTACGTAAAATTTATGTACAGATCATGCTCGAAAACGACACAGCACAGTCGGGTTCCACAGTCGTCCATGTTCAAACTCAGGATTTATTTAGACAAAAATTATATAACTCTTTGCAAATTTCTACAATATTTTACCAACCATACTCCTTTCCTGTAGGTCTGTGATAGCCAGGAATGGAGGGCCAGTACCGGTGAGGGTCGCTGTGAGACTCAGGCCCTTCCTGGACAAAGCCCAGCAGGAGAAGGGCAGCACAGTTCGGGGGCTCGGGGAGAAAGCACTGGAAATCTGCAACTGGAGAAACGACCAGGAATCTCTCAAATATGAGTAGGTTTGATAAAACCCAGTTGATTTTGATATAATGTTTCTCTTGCTTTCTCTTGCCTTACTAAGCTACTAAGACTAACTTAGTATACCTAACAGTAACAGTATGTACTAGTAATAATCCCATAAAAAATTTGAGGCTGTGTCAAAAATCAAAATAATTGACATGTACCAGAGTGAGACAGTTTGATATAAATACTAGTATGTCGGTGAAGGTTGATGGTGATTCAAATCTTTTTTTCAGATTTGATGCATTCTATGATAAAGACACCAGCCAGGACAAGATATTCACGACATCTGTCCAGAACCTGTTGGAACACACGCTTCACGGGCAGAATGCAAGTGTGTTTGCCTATGGACCAACAGGAGCAGGTAAGTTGTGTAATGAGGCATGTCAGCTCACAACTGAATGTCATAATCGCTAGACCAAAAGGTCCAGACCCATATGTTACCTCACTGTTTACTAGTGTTAGTAGTTACAGGCCTGCCTGAGGGTCTTTATCACTTTCAATAGTAAGTTACATACTAAATATTGCAAAATCAGTGTAGAAATTCAGTTACACCACTGGCCATATCACATAATGAGCAGAGCCTGAGAATCCAAAATAACCACCTCTAAGAAAATGTTAGAAATTGTACAAAAAAGTGTAAAGAAACTGCAGCTGCAAGCTAAAACAATATTCTTATACAGGCTTTGTACAATGATTGAATGAATCACATATTGCAGAAAACAGACAATTCAAAACATTTGAAACATACATTGTAGATACATTTGCCAATCACATTGCTTTCAACACACAGGGAAGACTCACACCATGGTGGGGACCTCTGAAGATCCAGGTATCATCCCTCGGAGTGTATACGGTGTGCTGAATGCTGTTGCCAAGGAGAGAGGGGCAGGAGACGGAGAATGGGCATATTCCATTGCTGTCTCCTACCTGGAGATATACCAGGAAAAGGTATAGTAAATTCCTGGTTCGCCAACTTAATACTGCAACTTGCATGGCTGGTACAATGGTTTACATGACTACTACATGTACTAGTAGTAAATTATGTTGTAATGCATGTGTATGTGAAATTAAACAGGTTTCATTTCCAATTTCTTATCTTTGACAGGTGTATGACCTCCTTGAGACCAAGAACCATGATCTGCAGATACGTGAAGACAGAGACAGGAATATCTTCATACCTGGGTTGTCTGAGGTACAGTTGGTATCAAATTCCAGCTGGTTCGCCCAGCATGGAAATTGGAATCCATTGTTTAGTCTATAGCTTTATTCCGCTTCTGTGATTGTATTCTCACAGAATTTCATAAAATAACAGTATTGATAACATGTTTGAACAAAGTACATCGTATAGAATGATCATCACCATTTCCTGACACATAAACCTGTCTCCTTACAGAAAACCATCACAGACTTCCAACAGTTTGAGAAACATTTTGTGCCTGCCAGCCTGAACAGGTAAGTGTACCAAAGACAGACACTGTATGAAGCTAGTGATACCACAACCTTTGTTATTTGGGAAACATTATCTGGGTATCCCAAATGATAAAAGGAACACAAGTAAATGAGACCTAATCATCTTCAATACAGCAGATTGCAGCCACATTAGTAAGCACTAGCAAAGGGTAGAAATGGGAGGTAGATGCAAATATGTGCCATATATGGAGTTCTTTTGGCTAAATAAGCTTGTGTTGTCTTTCCTTTCTCTGTCCAGGACCACGGCATCTACAAAGTTGAACAGCAGATCAAGTAGGAGCCATTCCATACTACTGCTGAAGGTAACTTTTCACTTAAGAAAAAGTTAAATCAGACACAGCCATTAAGTGTGTGGAACCAATTATTATGTTTTTCAACAACTGTTGTGGTTTGTTTCACAGGTGGTAAAGACACAGCAGGTGTCACCCTTCAGACAGCTGACAGGTAAACTGTACCTGATCGACCTGGCAGGGTCAGAGGACAACCGCAAAACTGGAAACCAGGGCATCAGGTATGGTGGAGACAATCATTGTACATGTAACAGATACTCATATTGAGGGAGTGGTAACAGTCACTGTGATGAGTATTTTGATAGTACATAGTGTAAGAATCTTACTGTTAAATAAGGAAGTGTTTACTCCCTAGCATATTGATTATTTGACTGATGCTATCTTGTGTGTCCATGTCAGGTTGAAGGAGAGCGGAGCCATCAACACATCACTGTTTGTACTGGGGCAGGTGGTAGATGCACTAAATTCAGGACAGGTAGGGGGCAGCACTGCTACCTTTTCATCGTTGTACAGCTTCAGTGCACTCCAAATGTTATTTAGAATATTGTGAAAAATGCCTGAGTTCTTTGGTGTGTTTCAATGTAGGCATATTTCTTTGTTTGATCCAGGCCAGAGTCCCATACCGTGACAGCAAGCTGACACGCCTACTTCAGGTGAGCCAGACTGATGCATATATGTTCATCTACAAGTGATTATTTCAGCTCAGCACTGAAGCACAAGAACAAACTAATCCTAAGACCTAATATAACTAACATCAGTCAAAACTCAGAAATACAAAAAAGGTAACTGACACACGAAAGGCCTCTCCTATTTTGATGTACATCTGGGCTGACTTTGGTGTATCTTGAATATTTGTCTTTCCCCCAGGATTCTGTCGGTGGAACAAGCCATGCCTGTATGATTGTAAACCTAGCACCAGAGGAGTCCTTCTACACTGATACCTACACCACACTCAACTTTGCAGCCAAGTCCAAACAGATTGTCAATAGGCCATTCACCAGGGAAAGCATTGGTAAAGAAATGTGGTTGCTTTAAGTTTTAATTGAACAAAAACCGTTGTCGTACAAGTCATGGCAATTTGCTGACAACATTCTAGTGTGCACAGACATGGCAATGGTGCAATATCAACATGGTTAAAGCTCCTTCTAGTGAGACTGCGTAAAACTGCAGGTCTGGTAACTGCTTTGTTAATCTTTCTCCCATGAAACAGTGAGACCTCACGTGCTGAAGAGGCCAGCTGATTCTGCCACTGATGGAGCGAGCAAGAGAGTGAGGATAGAGGAACCCTGCACCCCCACCACACCTGCAGTGGTACAGACCCCGGCAAAACTCCCAGCACCTTTCCTCAGGTGTGTGGACCATACCATTGTTGTCCTAAGGGGTGTATTTAGTGTGAGGATCGTTTTGTGTTGAGCAATTTTATCAGTGATTTAGTTTGTTATTAGCTTATAATATGCATCCCTCCTAAGCATTTAATGTATATATTTTTGACAGCAACAAATGTAGCATTGCAATGCAAGTTTTAGCAAAGATTTGAGTAAAACTTAAAAGTTAAACCTAATAGTACTTATCTACAGAAGAAAATTACACATGAATTATCATAATGTCCTGATGCACAGTTTTAACATGTTTTGTCTGTACTTGTTGGTGTTGTAAAAAAGAAGTTTGCCATACACAGTCCTAATTTGTGTTGTACATGTACATGCATATATTTCTATTCTAAATAGCGATTGTCATGTCGAGCTTTCTTCATTAAACCCATTGTACTTGTTACTCAGCCCCTTGCTTAGAAGACAGGATAAGTTTGAGACCAGTATGGTGGATCGTCTGGAGAAGTTGGAGACCGCCATCTTGGCCCGTATGCGTCGTGAGTCCGTCCTGACGACTGCTAACCGAGCCTCGGTCTGTGGTACCCCCGGACAGAGCCGTGAGGTACTGCTGCAGAAACTGGAGGATAGCAGAAAACAGCTACGGGTGAGCTAGCAACTTACCAGGCCTAGGAAAAAAATGTTGTGTTTCCTGTTTGAGTCCTGAAAAAATTAGGGTGGGTGGGTAGGGGTTATTTTTTTACTTTTCTTTTTTTTTAGACTTCAGTGATATCTATTTAAGAGTCCAACTTATACAATTCAGTTTAACAAAGTAAAACTTGCATGAGGACACTTTTATTTTCAATGCCAATGTTAGAAAACCAATTGTACAATGTTTTATCACTCAGGTGTCAGATCATGGAGCTAGAAAAGATTGATCAGCTTGAAAACCTAGTATGTTCCTTGCAGGGGTCCACCCCCAAAAAAGGGTTAGGGTGAGTTTTTGTAGGGTCGGTCGGAAAATAGGAAACACAAAATTTTTGTTCCTAGGCCTTATACATGAGAGACTGACTGCCAATTTAAGTGTTGAGAACCTTCACCAAGAAGGTTATGTTTTGGGTGGCATTGATTGTTTATAGCAATGCTATGGATGGAGGTGCTTACCAGTATAGATTTGACTCCATGAAAATACAAAATTGTGGTAAACAGGATGAAGGAGCCAAGGCACGAGGGATGAGTGTCAATAATTAAGACTCCAGGACAATGGAGTCTGCAGAGACTGGATGACAAACGACCAAATTTAGCCGATATCTACTGGCAAACCACCTGTGGATCATCACTCATCTGCAACAAAGGGCACACCATGACCACATAGGTCCAAGATAATTAAGCTGACTTAGCAACTGAGTCTTGCGGCTTTGTGAATAAGAGAGCCAGGGCTTTTTCAATTTCAGTGGTTGTTAAGGCTGGAATAATGACATAGGATACATTGTATGTGTGTGTGTGTGTTTGTGTGTGTGTAAATAAATGTAAATGGTTGACATACAATGTATATCGGACATTACAGGAGCAATATAGAGTCAGTAAGACTTATTTGTGTTATAAGAATACACACTTTTCCTTGTTTTTCTTTACAGGAGACATGAGCTAATGTGCTATATAGTTTGAGAATAATAGATAATAATACAAGAGAGGAGAGGCAGAATTTTTTAACCAATCCACGCAATACCAGAAATCTTTACAGATGACAGTTGCACGCATTATAGCAATTGTATCCTATGATTCCACTATCTCAAACTGCAACCACGTGCTATCTTTCTCAGGCAGGATAATGCCTATCCTCCTTAAGGATCCCAGTCATCAAACTTTTATGCATCAGTGTCTGATCCCATAATGCACAGGAAGTAAAAGGTCACCATCCCGACTTTGACCTTGGCGGGGCAGACATCACGAAGTCCACATCCCCGCTTTCGCTGACTTTCCTTAATGACCAAAGTACGATCCATTATCCCACATTTGCGGATCCACTCAAGAGGCCACTTAACGGACAAAAGCGCACACTTGAGCCGGGGCTTAGAAAGGCACAAGATAATACAATGTGACACCCGCTGAAGGGCATTGTTACGGGCGCGTGCTCGGTCAATGTTCTAATGCCAAATGGAGTATTGAAAACACATGTTTTATTCACAAAGCTGACCGTGTGCATTGTTGAATGTTATCGACACTGAAATAGAGGTCAATGTTGTTTCTTCTCAGAGTTCAGGTGTGTGTACAGTTCTAAAGCTTCCCGTCACACTGTGTCAGCAGGCATTCTTGTACATGTACTACTACAAGTCTAGATATGGAGAACAAGCATTGCGTGTCAAGCTTTTTTCCCAAGAAAACCTGGTGTACTTTGTTGCTATTTCTCTCAGACTTTTAACCTCCACCAAGGCAGTTACTTGGCTGGATTGTTACTTCACTTGTGGTTGAAAAGGATGATTGAAAAATAAGGTTAAGGTCCCATAACGTTATTGAGGTTGTAGGGGCGTGTGGGTTGTTAATTCACAGTGTCTTGGGCATGGTATCCCTCTCATATCACCACTTGTACCTTTTTAGCTCCCCAACTGAAGTTACGCACCCTAAAGTTAAGTATATGTATAGCAATGTCTAAAATATTGTAAAGGTCTATGTAGGAAAAATAATAGGCTCATTTCTAGGGTTTGGTTCTCAGAGTAAACTAATTCCGAGCCCGACTCCTTTTACCTAATGGTGGACAGGAACGACTCGAAATCCAATTATCCGCCAACTCATCGGATTGCCCTTAATTCAACCCCCTCGTGGCCGGCATCCAAGCTTTCCACGGAGGGAATGTGCACTTAGAGGGCTTACAGTATTACATGGGCTTTAGCTACTCCAATAAGATCAATAACAAGAGCGCCCACTTAAACTAGGGGATTATTCAATGAAGATAAACGTTTTCTTGTGAAGGTATAACACTGACAGACCCATGATGTCTTTCTACAACTGAAAAAAAAGAGATTTAGATAGTACTTAGGTTTCCTTGCAGGCAGCTGATGACTCTCTTTGAGTACATTTATATTACCACGGGATAATCACTCGAGATGCTTTATTGATTTGTGTTTCACGACCTTGTGACCTTGGCTGAATGGGGGAGGGGGGCAGGAGCATATCTTCTGGAAAACTGTTTCAACTGGCAGCTTAGAGCTAGACAGTACTGGCTTATTAGGTACAGTGCTACCAGTAGATACCGCTACTCATGAAGTGTAAAATGTTACAAGCAAATAAACCATGTATGATTTTGCTTGAAATTTACGAAGCTGACTTTTGCAAAAAGATACTTTGCAGGGTAAACAGTATAGCACTCACAATGGTAAAACATTTAGTTACTGTATTGTAAAACGTATCATAATAACAGATCTTAACTTGCAAATGTATAAGATGTTTAGTTTTCACTTCATTTGTACAAGGTCCCATCATTTAAATCTACATAAATGTCATTGTTGGTTTTTCTTGCTTGCAGGAATTAAAAGAACAACAGGAGCAGCAAAAGGCTGCTGCAGAGACAGCAAAGGAGAATGAGCAGCCGCTGTGCCAGCAGCTGACTAGCGATGTCCTCTTCAAGCACAGCACCTCTTTCATCCGCAGGAAGAAAGTTGCTGAAACTGAGAAACCCAAGGCCATGGTCTCACCTGTGCAAGGTAAAGTGTTAATTGTCTCAGATTCTTTCTCTTTTGTTACTTTTATCATGGCAAAAGCCTCTCAAGCACCTATTCAAGCCATAAAGCAATAAGTTTCCGTTGTAAAGTGCTTTTTTATCCTCAATAGGTATGATGACATTTACTTTTGGATGCATGTTTGTTACATTTTATGGTTCTGTCCATGGTGCTGATTTACTGTACTACACTGACAAATAGAATGTATTTGAAGTGTAATGTATGTTTTTATGCACACTTGAGAGCATACATTTGTATATACTTTGTTCTCGGTGTTATCTGGCTCTGTCCATGGTGCTGATTTTCATAACGTGGCTGTTATTAACACACTTCCTCCTGCTGTTTTCAGCTGGCCCACTGAAGCCATTGAATATGGACCAGGACTCACCTGATATTCAATTTGTCAGGATTATCAAGCCTAAAGACACGGTAAGATCTTCCTTAAAATTAAAATAAAGTCATTTGATATTTACCTCTTAGAATGTGTGGTGTATAGCTTTTCACGGTTAAAGTTTCAAAAGTTCTGTTGAACTGAAAGAAAATCTAGAACTGGAGGGAACTTTGATGCCAAACAACTGTATGGTCTAGGTGGTTTTACCTTGGATATAATCACTAGTGTCATTGTTAACATTATGTAACAATAACAGGTAAAAACTAAGAAGGAAGGAGGGAAAGGCAGTGGCAAGTGGCAGTTGGAGACAAATCCTGAGCTACAGGAAAAGCATGGTGAGTACATGTACATGTACATGTATACATTTCAAAGACTTCAATATAGCTTTGATTTACGAGTCATGATTGCAAAGTTTCATGATGTGTTCCTTCCAGATGGAAGCCTTTAATGGTGTTCAGAGGTGTCATGTACATTTTTTTCTCAAAATGTCATTGACTCAAATATTCGAAATGTGTGCCCCTCCACATTGGAGTCTTGTGGGAATGCTGCTTCCGAGCAACTTTGTAGCTGGAAGCAAGCATAACATATTCACTTGTTCATCTTTCCTTCCTTAAAAATGTGCCTGCTCCTCAATTTTCCTGAATGGAATCATAGCCCATCTGTCAATCATAAGTTAGACCATAATCTGTGTGAGATTATTTTGCAGAAATTCAGTTAATTAGTTTCCTTCCATTCCTTACTGCTCATCAAAAATTTCCTAATCATGCAATCCCCCTGCACAACAATTTGCTCTAGGAAAAGCCTTAATTACTTTTTGGATGCAAGTGATGTAGTCATAATGTTACCTCAAATTTGCGACTGTCTCTTATGCTTGCTTGAATTTCTTTATTTTGGTTCTTCGATGTATGGAGCTTTAGACACAATCTATACTACAAATTTGACACCCAATCTTTTCAGAAGACTGTCTGTTCCTATAAGTCAACTCCCATAAGACCACATGTGATAACCTGCTGACTATGCACTTGTCTTACAACCTGCTAATGTTTGATCACATTTATTGATTATAGTATGATTTATTCATGTAAAAGATCAAGGCAGGTCCTAGTATAGGAAATTGGAAAAGTCTGATATCGACATTTTCGTTCCTGGATAGGGTAGAGGTGAACACAGTTGATAATTGTAATATTGTGAAGCATGCTGATTAGAAATATCTTCGGAAATTCACAAATTCAAAAAGTCTTTATTTACATTGTAGATTCTAGTGCTTTTTGGTGTGTGATCTGTGGGCTATTGCCCCTTGATATGTTTGAAAATTTCTGAAAGTAATCTTCTTAATACCTTTGCTTATTTTTTGTTGTTTTCATTTTGACAAAATTGCCCTCATGTATTTGGAAAACAAACAAGATGGAATGACTAATAACTTGTTTATGATATACATTAATCTTCAATTAAATGTGTGTGTGTATTCATTACATGTACATACATAATGATCCAACATTGTAACTATTTTTGTGTTTTGTATTTATGTTGCATCATTTGCATCATAACTAGTAACATTTATATTACTATTCTCTATAATCAAGGTATGCTCATATAGTCATATGTTGAAACAGTAATGGTATCTGTTGCTCACCATAATTAGGTGCTCGATCAAGCTTGACATTTCAGCCCAACCACGAGGTGGTAAACAGTCTGGGGGCCAAGTTTGTACCTTGGTGTGCTCAGTTTAAGGAGTGAATACAGTCAGATTCAAGTTTTCCTACTGGCCTCTTGCTTTCATTATGTCCTGTCTTGCTAAATTTTCACTTTAAAAATGTCTGAAAAGCAAGGATACAAGTTGAAGAGGCCTTACCATGGGCTTGCACACAAATTGTCCAACCGTAAATTGAATTTCTGAGGCAAGCCCCATTGAAGAGGAATGACTTGCTGCTAGCAAACATATGTCTCCTGGTACAGCTTTCAGCAATATCGGCTTCTAAGACCTCTGTGCTATGCAAGATCGGCCCTAAAATAAATAATGGAAGCACAGGTTATGTAACTTATGACTATAGCATGGTCTTTGTGACCGAGTCTCTCTGTACATCTATCATTCTTCCATGTAGAAACAATGCCCTGTCCGTGAGTTACCTCACTGTTTCATGATCTCAATGGGATGGATCATTAGATTTTACTTCAGCAAAATTTCACAAGATTGAGCACTGCCACTGTTATTAACATTTGTAGCTGCATAAATCCAATCATACATCATTCTCAACATCAACTGTCAGACAGTGTCACAATTCAAACAGTCTATCTGACGCCACTGCAGCTGGATTGTAGTTTCACTGTGAAAAGTTGTTGAAATTCATGAGTGTTGACTTTCCGCAGCTGCTGGAGTGCTGGATGTGTTGAACAGCGGGAAGCTGAAGAAGTTGACGTCCCTACAGTGTGTCGGAGACAAGAGAGCCCGCCTCATCCTGGGCTGGTGGCAAATGAACGGTCCCTTCAAACAGGTATCATAACTCTAAATACTAAATAAAATATACCAAGTCTTTATGAGTTTGTTAAAGAAAATTAACAATCACACATAAGACTGAAGTAATCTACATTAACTGTTACAGTGTATGTTGAAGTTGAAACCTTACCAGCAAGGAAAGAAATATAGTGAAAGGCTTGTAAAAGCCTCTGGCACTATAATTGCCTTTAGTTGTAAAGTTGTATCAACCTGATTAATCATTAATCAGCTGCAGCCAGAGAAGACTTACAGAAATTGTATAATTTACTATCTAAACCAAGCACTCTCCAAATACTAGTGGTAGCACATATTTAGAGCAAGAAATTTTAATCTTCAGAGGAGACCCTTTTATATTAGTTTTACTTTATAAGGCTCACAATACCAGGCTGTAGATAAAACAAACATGGGTTACAGATCAATTACAAATAGACCCAGTTTCCAGCCCACTGAGCTATTAGGAACGGCTAGGCAGCCACAATTAGTCACGGTCTGTTACAGAAGCATACAAGGAGAATCAGCACTGATGTTTTGCATCTAAGGAAATGCTCGCCATCCCTAATGGATTTATCAAACTTTTAAGGACTGTTCTGCACTGCTGACGGTAATAAGTGCTGACACACCATCTGTGTTGAACAGACTGGGGATCAGATGGTCATCAATCATATAGATGGTGTCATTGAGTAGTTATGATACAACCCCAAGGTCTGCAGTTTTATTACCAAGTATGCATGTTTTTTCCCCACCTTTTTTCCCTGTAGGCTACTAGTATAGCCAAAGGTACAATGTAGCAAACCTATAACATGTAGCCCCTTGGGTAGAAATGTTAGTGCATTTAAAGCATTTGCAAAACTTTTAAATCTTCGGGTGGGATGTCACATCACGGCCTGGGTCCTTAACGAAGTGTCCACTAATAAATACTGCCTGGCCGTTCCTAATGGGTCTCAGTGCGATCACAAGACGGCAGATTGGGTCGGTTAAATCCTAAGAGAGTCTGACAGGACTGGATGGAATATTGGCCACAGGCAGTGTAAACAGTAATGAAGAACCGCACGGACGATGGTCTGGTCCAATCACTGACCGCCGCCGCTAATGACCAGCTGATGGTGGTCAGTCTGAGCAGAGACCTCTCAGACCAGGGTTATGGCTATCTGGGTCAGCCGCTATATAAATACATCAGTACCAGTGCCTTCGTGATTATAGCTGACTCCATGTATAATGCACTGTAAGGAATGGGGCCAACACGAAGTTATCAAACAAACTGGGCTTGTCTATCATTATTTTGGATGATTAAGCCGTTGAAGGGTTGTGATAAACTCAGCCTGTCAATTTTGAGAGTGAGGATCATAGCTGTTTCTCATGAAAATATATCGCAAATGACAGAGTTCGGTAATATCAACATTAGTCACGATGGATGTATAAATGTCCAACTTAACTGAACTTATGAAAATTGCTGAAATAAAATGATACACAACTGCACTGAAGGGCATTTATGTACTTTCAGTTTCAAAAATGCCAAATTGCCCAGAAAGAAATTGGAAAAGGAACATCAGATGTGACTTTAAAAATGACCTTAATATTTTACTTAAATGCATGATGACTGCATATATATCAAGCAGGCATGTTTCTTAAGTAAGATGGCTTGTCGTCTGTTAACGGTGCCACAGGTCAAGTCTTGAGGCTTCTTCAAGTTATCTGGACACTAAGTTAGGAGAAGCTTGCTATCCTCCATGCATGCAGTCCATTATGAGGTGGAAATCAATCAAATTGCGTCTTCCACACTAAGGTGATCGCCACAGGAGAAACTTGGTCCTGTGGATTGACTACATGGCCCAGGGATGGATATAACAAGTCTCCATGGCTGGGAGATCATCATTAGTCAGTACTCAGTACTCACAAAGTTCAGATCAGTGTCCGAGGGCAATAGTTGTTGGAGTTTGACAGATAGGTACTTAGGTAGTGCAAAATGACTCCTCAAGAGTCAAGTATATTTAGTATTACGGTGGGCCCATGGTATGGTTACCATACATTTTGTACATACATGTACTTTCTTGTAAGTTGAAATAGACCAATGCCTTCTCCTGTTTCTTGATTGGAATGTATTTATGTATAATAGAATGGAAAATATTTCAGTTACAAAATGGTAGTTCATTGCTAATTACATGTAACCCATTAACTCTTCCAGGTTGAAGACTTGAAAGCAATCCCTGGCCTACCTAGCAAGACAGTAGACAACATTATCAAGGTAACTACATGTGACTTGACTTACGTCATGTCAGCCTTCTATTTATTAGAAACCCAAAACAAATTGGTTGAATTATGGATTATTTCTTAATCATTCATGTGAAATAAGACAACTTAAACCAACTTTAAATGTTTTTTTAAATAGTAAATGCTATGATTTAGAGATTTCAAATAAATGTTTTTATCTCCTCCTTCCTACAGGGAAATCTTCTGTGCTTTGGCATGTCATCCTGAATTGTATGACACCCGTCAAAACCGTGGAACCTGCAGAAGGATCTAAATCTTTTGTACAAAATATTTTACTATTATCACCCTGAAGTTTATGTGTGAGATGTAGAATCATATTACGATGAAATATGTGAACAAGACATCCAACTGATAGGTTGCTTTGATGTACGATGTATACATGGAGAGTCATGTACATGTAGTACTACATTCCTTGGTACACTAAATGATTTGTGTGTGTGTGTGTGTGTGTGTGTGTGTGTGTGTGTGTGTGTGAGATGAGAGTTACATGGACAAATGAGCCAAAGAAGTCAGCTGGTTGGCAGCTTCCACAGTTTATTTCACTCAGCACTAGTTAGTAACATTATAAACAGAGCTGCTAGTTCATAGAAGAGAGTATATTCTATACAGTACTTTGGTTAAAACAGTTTAGTGACCAGTGTGTGCTTTCTAAAACATTTTTAAGTACATTCATATTTAGCTGTAAATACTGTGGCAGTGTGTTGTGGCATCATATCATGATAATAAGCTAGTTACCTATACATAATATCTCTATTTCATGTGTATAATGCTTGGTTTAACCACTGCACTATTCTACTGGAACAAGTCAACAACATCTACTTCTAAAATGGAACGATAGATACACCATCCAATATGCCATTAATAATTCCTGACATTTATAACATTGTAACACTTCTCAAAGTTAGCTCATGTCAAAGGCTAAGAAGTCCATCTAATATGCATTTGTATGTATTTGACATCTACTGCTTAAAGGGTGGCACATGACAGTATGCTAGTTTCCAAACATGAATCTTTTCTATTGGAGTGCTCTCACTGTAGTACTTGTAACATCCTCCATTGTATATTCTGTACAGTTCCAAAGTGCTAATAGATTAGAAGATATCATAGATTTGTGGCATGATAGATACATGTATCTGGAAACCACGTTGTATAAAGGAATGTCTTTTAGCAAGTACTTAGTAGTCACATACTAATCCCAATACAAGAGGCTAACATTTAAACATTGCTTCGTTGTCTCTTTTTATGCTATACTCCCCCACACTAAGTTCTATACAATATTTCTGCCACTGTTCCTACTCAGCTCAAGGACACCCCCCTCCCCACATCATAAACACATCCTTGCACCATTTATTCCGCCTCTCAGATGAAAAACATTAAAGCCTGCGCTCCCTTTCAACAAGTTGCCACTTTTGCTGTGAGCTCTCCATTCAGAATCCATCACCAAAGTGATGATGTGCCCATGTTTTCAATAGAGCGCACCCTTGGCAATGACCTTCATGGCTCCCTGGGAGCTGCTAGGAGTCAGAAGTTGGTGTCTATCACATCAATATGGAAACCTACACCACACAAGAGCAAGGGGTAATGCTTTCTTATACAGGCAGATTGTAAAGAAGTGGCAAGAGTGCAAGTACAGAGAGAGCTCAGGCGGTACAAAGCTGATAAATTACAGGAAGAAGAGCAGACTAGGTAATACTACACAGTTCTTTCTCATTTTCCGGTTCCTTCCACCCCTTAAAATGGTTCATTCCTACAGGAAAGCGGCATAGCAATCTATCTGTACTGAAGCATGAATTGTAGAGTTTGGAAGCATGCGTTGAAATATGGCTAAAATCATTGGCAGTGTTGCAGGGGAGAGAGATAGAGCCGACAGAAGATGATGAGGTCCCTGTCCATACTGGCCCTGAGTCCGCTTAGCTGTTCCCTGACGGATGGTTGTTATTGTTGGCAGGCCTTTACAAGTGTACTTCCATAAGCCGCCGGTCCCTTGGTCTAACCTAGGGGGCAACACAGAGGGAGAGACGGAAAACAACACAATCTTACTTCCAACTAGTATAGAGAAACGTATCCTGCAGTCTGGGGCATTTAAACAACACTACATATATATAGTTACATTGTAACTATATTAATATCATTCACACGAAATAGAGATAAACAGCTTCAGTATTGAGTGCATTTGGTAAAAACCTACATTAGAATTAAACATTTCTTGAGTTTATTCTACTTTGTAACTATGCGTACATGTGATGTACCTAAAAGACAGTTTTACAGCTGACATGCAGACTGGGAAAAATCTATTACTGAAAAGTTGTGGCCCAGTGACTGTGTGTTCTACATCACGTCACCCAATTATTTCTCGCACAAGATCATTTCTTGCACACCGTCAGACATTCCGGTGTGCGACAACCGCGGTGAGTCCACAGACATGGCGGAAGTGGACGTGGATGAACCGCTCCCGCCGCTACTAGAGCTTTCGTCTCCTACCCGGCGCTTGGGTGGTGGAGGGGTGGGGAGGGTCGGGGTGACGGGGGAGGAGGTCTTAGGGTCGTGGCTTTCCTCCTGGCCAGGGTGGGGTCTCTTTCTGCTTGCCTGTGAAAAAAAACAACAACAACAAGCAAACAAATTATCATGAAAGTTCATCTTTGTTGGTAGTAATCATAGTAAAACGTTGAACTTTATTCCAACACACAAATTATCAGGGGCCACTGTCGCCTTCATCGGGATAATTAATGACCAATCACTTCACAGCATAATCTTGCAATAGTTATGGTTACAAGCACGTGACCTTATTCACACGAGACTTTACTGATACATGACGGGAGCAGTTGATCAAACAAACAAACAAACAAACAACAAGCAGCTTTACATTAATTTTGCAGTCCAAATGACAACAGTCATAATCTGACTCACATTCAAGCAGATATTCAGGAAGTGGGGGCGTGTAGTTAGTAATGTTTACTGGCTCCCCTCCTTTTTTTGGAACTCATTCTTATCACTCAAAAACCAGACATCTTTATATGCCTTTAAAATTCTTCCCAATAGCATTGTCAGTACCACAGACTGTATACATCATGTATGTATTACCTCCTAAGACTGGCCTACCAGAAAAGGGATAGAAAAACCATTTGTACAATCTGCACACATGCAATAACTTCAAGGGCACCTTGTTTCCTATCATCTACAAGCCATTGGCCTCTTCTGTAGACAAGTGACTGAGGCACTCATAACTAACTACAAAATGTACATACAACATCCCCCAAAACTTTCCACACTCGTTTGCTCCTAACCCCGTGGCCAATCAGTAACAACTTTGAAATCTAGGTGTGCTTGTTTCTGCGTTCCTTTCAGATAAGAAGATTCCAGCTGCTCAAGATCAAATCTGTATCAATCAATTTTCAAGCTCATGTTATTCCTCAAAGTCCAAGAAGGCCCTTTCATTTCATTTCCAAGCCTCTAATTCCGGGCTACCTGCCGGAGTGGCTGATACCATCATGTTATTGGAGGACAATGCATACAAATGGGGTCGACTTTGCAACTTGCTGGAGCTTTGACATTTCTTGTGCCTTGGTGAGGAAAGGGTACGCAATTGCAAGGTAAACTGACTCCCACTTTAGGCTTCACTGACTTGATTTCATGGATTACAAGGCCGCATGAGGCCCAGAACTGATGCAAGCATGTCAAAAGACATAAAACTGATGGGTAAAAAAGATACCTGAATGTTGAAATCTAAATTAGCAAGGAAGTTCTAGAAATAATTCAGCAATCATGAAGATCATCATATAACAATCAATGCATCCTGTATGCCTACTCTTTTATGAGGTAGGTTGTCTTGCTGAAACAACCAGCATGGCCTAAAATCACCCAGCAGAAGCCTCTCTCATGATGTACATTTGTACATACAAAATCCCTTTCTCCTTGAAACTATGGGTAATTTGATGACTTATCCACCTTGACCTATCTCTAGATTGTAGAATTGACATTCGTGATCAAAAAAATAGACACATACGGTGGAAAGTGGTGGAGGCATTCCAGAAGCTGCTGGGAACATCAGTTTGTTTGCCTTGGCTGTCATCTCGGGGTCCTAGAATTGATCATTGCTGATTAATAAATGATACCATCAATATAAGCTAACTTCCATTGTATAAAAATTGTATTATATTGTCCTTAAAGTTCATAAACTACATGTTTTACCTGCATACTGTATTGTTTATGAAGTCAGAAAGACAAAAGTTTGACCATCATTACAATTAAGCTATTTATAAGACATGTAGCATGGCATAATTGTGATCTTGCTTAACCGTTGCATCAGTACCTAAAGAGACAGTTTGAGGGAACAACATAATAGACAACTAAGTCCTCTCTCTGTTCACTACTAATGTAGTATGTGCAAATTTTGTGCATGTACAGTGACAGTTGAGCTACATTGTATCATGTAACACAACATGCAAACAATACGTCTACTGGTACACTCTGAAGTTAGAAAAATGTATCCTGGCCCCACCTTAAGCCATGGGTGGTTGAGTGCCTGAGTCACAGTGAATCTCTTCTTGGGATCAACTGTTAGCAGCTTCTTGATGAGGTCTTTGGCTAAAAAAACAAATATGTGTCATCAGCAAAACTCAGTATATTAAGGAAACATGGCAAATGTACGTAGATGTGTCAATGGTATTTTTCAAATGGGTCTACATGTATCTTGTCCAAACATCACAGAATTGTACAGTCCATATTAGCCATATAGCAACGACAACAAACAAGTGATCCATGTTTTGTCCTAGCTGCAGAACTTTTGAATGCCCTAACATGCTGTAACATACCATCTTCAGAGATTCCTCTCCAGTACTTCTCATGTAGCTGGTACGAGCCGCGGATGATCTGCTCTTCCAACTTCATGTCCTTCCGCTCATCAGTGAAGGGAGGATACCCACCAAGACTGGAGGATAGAAAAACAGACAACTATTACTTAAGATTCTGTAATTAAGGTAAATATGTAGACCATTTTTATTGATGATTTGCATATCATAACAATCACTGTGCAAGTAATACATATAATTAAAATCTCAAGACTTCCACTACAAAGCATTTTGGAGTTAGTAATATTTAGTGTAGTGATAATTAATAGAGACAAGATGCTTGTCCTGCAACAGTAGCAGCAGGTGCCACCATGTGATTGCAGTTGGTACTGCAGAATACATGTAACTACAGTAATGCAGAGATCTCTACCTTCCTTGTAAATGTCTAACTTACTAACTTCCTCGTAAATGTTCACATGTCTTAAATCAATCATTCTCTTTTTACATGTAGTGTTTCTTGTGGAAGAGGTAGATATTGGCAACATTCAAATTCATATCTTCAACTGCCATAAAGCACAATCACTTTGATTAAAGTTATTTATTTCATATGTTTGGAAATTCACATCTTATATCTTCACTACCAAAAGATCTGAGACATTTCTTCCAATGAAATAGTTTCTCTCACACCTGGCCATGGACATTTTTTGCCCCCCCCCCCTTCAACTATCAATTTAGCCATACTGTAATTGCCAGTGACACTCTGTAAGATACAGATCTGGTCATCAGATACTGCTCTTCCATCTGGTCAAGATGTTTAATCCATCAATGTGTGGGATGAACTAGCCATTATTTCTCATACTTGTTTAAGTATCCATCAAAGTCAACATTTGCCCTTGGGCATGTACAAAATGTACACGTAGTAATAACAGCAGAGATGAAATCGCTGACCCAGTTACACTATCTAGGTTAACATTATTTATGACACACTGTGAACTACATGTGGTGTGTCTGCTTCGACATAAATCCTTCCAAAAGACATGCTGGAATCAAAACAAAACCTTTCATGGTATGTAATGGCTCTATAAATAAAAAAGATAATGCAATAAATCATTGCAATGATGGGAAAAAGACTGCAATATTGAACTTTGTGGCTGAAATGAAAGCAACGAGAATAAATACATTCTTCATTTTCAGGGCAATGCTATTTCATTCCATTATCTTCTTGACCTAATTATATGGTTCTTTTATTGTGTTACAGACTGACTGAGATATTTGCAAAGCCCTTTAAGTATCTTTCTGACCTGCTTAGTAATACTCAAAAACTACCGTTACCATTATCAGTCACTGTAGTAAAAATTTAAAGGTGAAAAAAACTACTGACAGTAATTTCTTGCAAGTGATATTAGAGGCTAGTAAACTTCAATCTGTTTGAAGTTCGTAAGTCATTTTTCAACAAACAACTTGGTTACCTAATCTTCACAATAATCTACCATTTTTTAAACTTCTTTCTTCTCCCAAGTCTTTTAAGTTTCTAAGTGACTCCAATTTCTGTGTACAGCACTGATACCACCTCGCCATCTTTCCTTGTCAGCTACAAAGCACGACTCTGCCTTACGTTCTTCATTTTTCGTCTTTGAAGCCTCCATGTGTCAAAGTTTTACACTTTGGAAGGGCAGAGAGGCCTTGTAACAAATGCCTACGACTTTTCCAAATCTCCACCTTATCTTATCTCTATCAGAACACGAGGGACTCTACCCCTCACTCACACCTAGTCCAGCCGGCAGAAGCTTCAACCTGCATAATGGCGCTCCTTCATCACACGGCTTTCTCCGGCAGAGAAATACGACAACTCCAATCGAAGCAGCCCATCTGTAGGCACCTCTATTCACTGCACATGACGAATGGTAGCCTGGTATAGACGGGGTCGATCTTTCTCTCGCTCTCTCTACCTCCCCGACCAAGTCTCGCTGACTAAGAATAGATCCACATGAATTACATAAATTCTTTACTCTCCCATCAACTACAGATTGAAAGATACTGGCGTGCTTCCAGGAGATATGCCAAGACTACAAGAAATAACATGCATCTTTTGCCCAAAATCTACTGAGCACACATAATGAAAACGGAAAATCTACCATTTTTAGGTAAGATGCATGCCGCTATTGATATTTGCGGTGGTGGACTAGGAGCTTGCCAAGGGAGAAGCTCGTGATCTGTCACTTTACGCTACAGAAACTAGGATAAGCCCCAGCCCTTAGGGCCGCGTAAGGCCATGCCTGGGGTGGCCTTGAAATGACTTTAGCCTCCTTTTTCTCAGTAAAATCAATATGCAAGACCATTAGTGTTCCTCCCTGTGCATGGCATTTAAAGTAAGAAAAACTGAAAGCATATTTGTCTTCTTGACTTCTGTTATTCTTTGACTGTATCAGATGAAGGAGGCATAAATCCCATGTTGAGTGAAAGTACTTTGATCACAGACAAGGACTACATGTTGCAGTATACTTGTATGCAGGAGAGTGTAATGAACTGCCAGGTCCCTATCACAACATCTTCCACACTAGCATATTAAAATGGTATTCAGAGATGACAGATGTCACCACCTTACCCATACTGCTCTGCAATCTTTCCAGTCTCATGGACCAAATTAAGATCATTTAAGATGTATAACATTGTGTTAGTTCAAAAGGGAAAATAGACAGACTGGTAGACAGACAGATATGCCAAAAACAATCCTTCACTCCCTTGGGGGTCAAGTAACAAATCTACAAGCACGCCATGTTTTAGTGAGGCTTACATTTAAAAGGACTTGCTTATACCAGTCTAGCATCCCAATAGGGGTGTCAATGGGCTATACCAATGTTGCACCCCAATAGGGTTGTAACTAAAATGGCACTTTAAGTATTCCTCTCCATCACACTCTTCCCTTGTTTCTGGGGGTTTTTCCTCAGATATATTTCTGTTTGGACCAGGGATCTGACACATTAATCAATGTTTTGCATGCATTTATGTAGGGAGGCATTGAGCAATTTGAAAAGAAACACACACATACATGTACACAAGACCTTTTCCACCTTTTCATTAGCAACCTAATCCTATCTGTACTTACCAATTCTAAGTCTCGGTATACTATATCAGCCTGAATACAGTTTAATTCTCAACTATTTATGATGTAACACAAAATTACAGCTTTAATTGCCTTTCAAGCATACATATATGTCCATAATTGTGTATCTCTGAAAACCTGTACATGAATTCATTGACAACCTACAAAAAATTACCAGCATTCTTCAACGAAACAACCCAATGTCAGAGAATTATGACAGTTTTACAGTTAGAGTCTATATTAAATAGAAACGAAAGGTACATTTTGCTGATAAGAGAAAGTCATGTGAAACATTACCACTGTCACAGTCACCAACATGGGGAGAGCATGTGATGAGTGTAATTAGCACTTGAAGAGATAAATGTTTGGATAGGCTAAGTCCAAAGATTTGGGTTTGGAGTAGCATCCATTAACGGTAAAAACAATGCAAAATGGAATGCTGTTAGGCTTAGTGGATTACCAAGAAGTTTGCAACAACATTAACAAGTCAGGAAAATGATAGATCACAAAATGGAAACACAAAACGTGCAATGCACTGCTATGAAACATTTGATTTTGAATCGATTTTAAGTAAATGTTTATATTCAAGCAACCTAACATCTTATTTCAGAAAAATACCAGAAAAACAAAAACAGAAAAGAAACAGACATCTAGCCTTCAATATACCAGGAATTTTGATCATTCAATGCAAACCTTCCACAACTATTTGCAGGAAACTAACATTCATTTTGGGGTTGATTCATATCCTACTTGACATATCTGATCTTATTCAAATAAAAGAATTTAAGTGAATCTGAGAAACAAGAAATCAAATTGATATGACCTTACGTGTACTTAATAACTCTGCTAACACAGGATGCTTGAAATCACCAATGTTTCAGCAAAATGTGTCAAACAGGCTGTGTGATGATTAATTCATCAATAGATTGGAGTCTTGATGACGACAACCTGCCATCTCCCTAGTGACAAGTTGATTATCTTAATGGAAAACATGCATTTCCTTGTAATTAAGACTGCTGAGTTGTAAGACAAAACACATAATTTCTTGAGTGATAAGAATCCCTCATTACTAACTCAAGAGTTCTAAGGATTACCGTTGCTTCCAAAGTTGTATATTTTAATTTCTTTACTAGAAAATAATGATTTCAGCACCAAGGACAGCGACTGAGTGACTGTAAACCCATGTTTTTCACCCAATGTCTTGAAGAAAATCAATAAAACAGAAAGAAAGGGGAATGATCTGAGCAGGAAATCAAATTCTTTTAAAAAGTGACCAGATTCTGGCACTTTGGCCTACATTTCCATTGAGACAGATGACTTAGAAGAGTTCAGAGGGTGAAAAGAAAACAATTAGGAAATGAGGTCAAATTGTTCATGAATCAAAGAGATAGGATATCCTGTGAGCTAATGATGAATACATACTGATATAAATGCCATTTAGATATTAAAACATGGTAATGTCTGAACTGTTTAAAGGATCTCCGGACCAAAATGCTTCTTTGTCTCAGCTTTCTGATGGCTTTTTATGTTTACGGAAGGAAAACATATTGTTTTTGCTCTGTTTCCTCTTCTTCTTCTCCACACAAAAAGGTCAATGACCTGAACTAGATGGCTATCACCAAGGTAACTAATGCCGGGTTACATCATGTTGCAATTTTATAGCAGGAAGGATTTGGACTCCTGTTTGACCATATACATGTATATATGAATGTGTTTGAGTAACAAATTAACCATATGCAAAGGTAAACATTATGCATTTGCTACCTTTCTAGTTTTTGTTTTCATTTATATATCATCATTTAGAGTTTTTCTTTTATTTTTTCAAGTTGATTAAAATGTCCCAGCTCATTCTAGGCAGATTAAAGACCAGACACAGACAGCTTAATATGTTATACCAAAAGATAAAGTGATATGTTGACCTAATTACAACTTCTGACTGATCTGAATAAAACTGGGACATGTACTCCATTACTTTCCTTGTCAATATCCATTCCTGCCTGAATGACTGGCTATTTGCACAAAACAACACCAAATGCT